ATGTTCTGCCTGATTTCTTAGGCAGAAGTCATTTTCTATTTTCTGTTCTGTCTATTTTAAATGATGTAATGAGAACCATTAGATCATAGTCTAGGTGGATTCTCTAGCTTAGATTTGGTATGACACGTGTAAGCACCTAATAGGGTGACAGTTGTAATTCTGTTAGAAGAGAATCACATTTCTCTCTCTGTCAGACACACTATGTAAGCTGCAGATTGTAAGAATTCAATAGAACAGTGCCTTCCTCATTTCTCTTCATTCTCTCTAGCTGAAATCTCCAGAAAATACATCTCTTCCTAATCTGAAAATACATATACAAACTAAGAATTCTAACAATAAACAGTTAATAATTGATCATCAGATCTCTTTCTGCAGTCCGGATTAAAACAATTCAAATTGGAGTGTCTTGATCTCAATTCAAACCGTGGAAGTCTTTTAATCTTGGATCTAATACGTTAGGACTAACTAGTTATTTTAGTTACTTATTTAAGTTCTTACTAGAGCATATCTCTCTCTCTCTCTCTCTCTCTCTCTCTCTCTCTCTCTATATATATATATATATATATATATGCATATGTCATGTCGCCCGCCTCTGTCACGTACTGCAAAATGGATCCAGATCTCGAATTTTTCCATATATATGTATATTTTCTTATGGGTTTGGTTGGCCTTTGAAAACTTAATTGAGTTCATATATCGTCAAATTTAAAGCTTTGGAATGGGCTTCCTTTGTTGTTATTTCTTCACCTCTTTTGTGATCTTTAATATTTGGACTTTGCAGATACTGAACATGTGTTCAATAAAAGTGACAGTAACTCGGGCTTCACATCATTAATTCCTCTAAGTGAGTTTTGTGACCATAGTAAAGGATATGTTGTGAATGACACATGTATCATTGAAGCCAAGGTTGCAGTCCATAAGTCTGAAATTAAGATTTTAGAAGGAAAAAAACTCGTAGAAGCACGACGAGCAGGGACCTTCAAATCTAATCCTCTAAAAGTTCCAGATTGATCAGCAGCAAATAAGGCACCATGTTATGACAAGGTGTCTGCCTTCCAGGAGGAACCAAGTTCTGAGAAGGTTTGCACCGATAGCCCTGCTAATCCTCCCATTGTCATGGAACATGAGGATGTGTCGTCCACATGTTCTCGAGAGTATATCTCTCTCTCTCTCTCTCTCTCTCTCTCTCTCTCTCTCTATATATATATATATATATATATATGCATATGTCATGTCGCCCGCCTCTGTCACGTACTGCAAAATGGATCCAGATCTCGAATTTTTCCATATATATGTATATTTTCTTATGGGTTTGGTTGGCCTTTGAAAACTTAATTGAGTTCATATATCGTCAAATTTAAAGCTTTGGAATGGGCTTCCTTTGTTGTTATTTCTTCACCTCTTTTGTGATCTTTAATATTTGGACTTTGCAGATACTGAACATGTGTTCAATAAAAGTGACAGTAACTCGGGCTTCACATCATTAATTCCTCTAAGTGAGTTTTGTGACCATAGTAAAGGATATGTTGTGAATGACACATGTATCATTGAAGCCAAGGTTGCAGTCCATAAGTCTGAAATTAAGATTTTAGAAGGAAAAAAACTCGTAGAAGCACGACGAGCAGGGACCTTCAAATCTAATCCTCTAAAAGTTCCAGATTGATCAGCAGCAAATAAGGCACCATGTTATGACAAGGTGTCTGCCTTCCAGGAGGAACCAAGTTCTGAGAAGGTTTGCACCGATAGCCCTGCTAATCCTCCCATTGTCATGGAACATGAGGATGTGTCGTCCACACCAGCTGGGGAGCTCATGGTTTTCAGGGGTTTAAGTGTAAAACAGAAAAGGCTTTTGCTCCGCTGCCTGATGAAGTTTGTTCCTGGCATCCTTCTTTAATAGAATTCCAAAAGAAGAGAAGTCACATGTCTACTGAGTGGGCATTCACAGCTTCAGCCCAACTCCTGCATTTTTTGAAGAATACAGAAAAGGTCAAGGATATGACAGATCATCTCTGAGCGCCTAAAACTTTTATGGGAGGAGCTTGAGACCTGCAGGTTTGACTTGGCTTGGCTGGGGCCCCATGTTCATAGCGCTTTAGGTATGAAGAATTTTGTGGAAAGAGTAGGGCAACGGAAAAGACTGAGAGGTGGATATAGATGCTTTGGAGATTAAAACGAAGTGGCTAAAGGCTAAGCTATTGCTTGCGGAGGTAAATCTTGAGGTAGCAATAAGAGATCTACACACGGCTGAATGATGAGATAAATATGGATGGTGAGTTGGGTAATGGGATGTAGAATTTTCCCTTGAATTGCTGAAGATATGCATTGTACGACACGTAATGCAAAGTTTGACTGGATTGTTCGGGGTCCCCTTTACTGGAGGCCACCTCTCCCCCACAGCAATGCAGCTTAAGGCGTTAATTGATGTACTCAAACAGGCCAAGGTTGCTTTGCTTTGTGAAGCTGAATGAGAAAAGGCCAGGACTTTAGCATCTGGGCGGGGTATTGGAGGAAGTTAAGACAATTGAAGCACAGTTTTTGCACACCATATCTTTAGGTAGTTGTAACATAGTTGCACAAATCAGTCGGAAAAGCATGCCTTTCGTTGTAATCAATCTTTTATCTGGATGGAGAAGGGGTATTTGCTTGCTCCTTTGTGATATGTCGAATGTATTGAGAAACATATAAGACTACTAATAATGGTGCCCAGGAGCACGCATACCAGTTCAAGATCTTCTTTTGTTTTTTTTTTTTTAAATTTTTAAGGGCTTGTCCAATATAGATACATACATTTTCTATTTCCTAGACATATACCCATCACTCTATAAATCTATGTGTAAAACCCAATTTCAAATTTAAATGACCAATAGAATATAAGAGGTCGTAGTATTTCTATGTTTTTACATCGTTGCCACTAAACTTCATATTTTATTTATAATTTATTTCAAGCATTTCATTAACTGTCATAATTGTAATTAATATACTCCCTATTAATAGCATATCAATCACCCCATTTCTTATAGTTGTCATTCCCTCTCACATCTCGCCCCCTAAAATTGCAAAAAAAAAAAAAATATATGTAAATTAAATAAAACAAATAATAGGTACTTTATTCAGAGAAAAAAGGCTATATTATTTATAGAAAAAAATAGGTACATTATTTAGATAAATAATAGGTACTTTATTTGTAGTAGGTATATTATTCAAATGGTAGGTACATTAGATGACATATAATACCTAAATCCTAATTGTAAGTACATTAAAATTAATGTAGGTATATTGGATGTCGTATAATGTAGGTATATTGGAATAGATAATTATGTACACTTTTCCTACTAGGTAAATTATATTTTTCATAAAACAAACAAGTAATAGGTACATTATTTTTTCAACATAATTAGTATGTATAGTTTTATTCATAAGCAATTATAAAGTGCATTATTAGTCATGTATAATTCATAAAAAGAAAATAACATAAACATTTTATTAAACAAACC